AAAAAAAAAAAAAAGGGCACGTATTGAATGGAGCACTGGGTGTTATACGCAAACAATGAATCATGGAACACTACATCAAAAACTAATGATATATGGTGATTAACATAATAAAATAAAATTAAAAAAAAAAAAAGAAACACCGGCATCCTGGAAGTTAAGCTTCGGGGGGGAGCTCACTTCCAGTTTATACACTTTGTTTTAATCTAAATTTACAAACACACATGTTATTTTGTTACTTTTAATAGCAAACACTTAACAGATGAAAGTTTCAACTATACGTACTTTTTACACGTGACAGGCTTAACAAAAAGAAAAAACCAAAAACTAAAGAATTACTTACAATTCATCAGGTCTATACGGAGGTGGACTTTCAAAAGGCCTCGATGACATAGCTGATGTCAATGATCACCTGATCTTCAGGATGAGCACTGCCCCGCAGCTCCCCAAAATAAGCCAATCTAAGCAACGTAAGGAGGGTAATGGCATTACTACAAAGCTCACAGTTTCCTTGCATCACTAAGAAAACTAATGATATCAATCTCAAGTAACTTCACACACCATGATTATTCCTCTTGTCCTTCTCAATGACATTCTTACACATTGGACCATCAATTCCTTGAGTACAGGAAATCACTGAGCATAGCAACCATTCGGTCTGGTGGTCCTCACAGCACCAAGCACCCTGCTCTGCACACCACTGACATACAAATACTAACTTTAATGACTAAGTTGTAGTAATAAATATTTCACAAAGATTTTACAGCATAGGTAAAAAATGGTATTTTTCGGGCACCTCGGTGGCTCAGTTGGTTAAGCGACTGCCTTCGGCTCAGGTCATGATCCCGGAGTCCTGGGATCGAGTCCCGCATCGGGCTCCCTGCTCGGCGAGGAGCCTGCTTCTCCCTCTGACCCTCCCCCCCCATGTGCTCTCTCTCTCTCATCCTCGCTCTCTCAAATAAATAAATCTTTAAAAAAATGGTATTTTTCAAAACCACTCCTTCAAAAAACAAGAAATGTAAAAAATAAGAAAATTTCTTAAAATGTGTTTAAGTTTTGGTAACACCATTTTTTTTAATTTTTATTTTCTTTGAGAGCAAGCGAGCACATACACGAGTGGTGGGAGGGGCAGAGGGAGAATCTCAAGCAGACTCCCTACTGAGTGCAGAGCCTGACGTGGGGCTCAATCTCACGACCCTGAGATTAAGACCTGAGCCGAAATCAAGAGTCGGATGCTTAACCTGATGAGCCACCCAGGCGCCCCAATCAACCAGTACTTATTAAGTACTTACACTATACCATGGAAGTCTGTAGAAATACGACAGAAGGTCACACACAAAGAAAAAAACAACTACAACAGGTAGTTATTTAGTTATTAGGGCTGACTACATTATCAAGTGCAGGACAGGGATAAGCAGAGGAGAAAAACCAAGACTTAAAGAAGAAGAGGAAGAAGCTGGGGGTTGGGGTGGGGGGGAGAAGAGAGATCACTTGAGCTACAATCTGAGTATATTAAACTGTATACTGTTTTTTCCTTTTCAAATAAAGTATGTGCAAAAAAGGTATTATGTTAGGAAAAGTAAATAAATTCAAACTCTCTAAATTGTGTTCTTTAGAATCAATGGCAACTATCCTCCACATCCTTAAGGACAGTCAATTCCAAATTTCTCAGAATAAAATGTTGCCCAAGTGTTTATCACGTAAAACCTCAAAGATGGAAATAAATTGAATGTTAGGAACACCAAGACAATTAGCATGATTTTCCAAACACAGTGAGGGAAGACAACTTCTTCACATTAAAAATAAAAATACAAAAAACTGTTTTACTCAAGTATTAACATACCAAAAAATGCACAAATCCTAAGTGTATAGAGCCCTGGAACTAGCACCCAAATGCACATTTAAATGGGCAACTCAGGCCATTAGCACATTACAGTGTTACAGAGGAGTAAAAGTCCAGACTGGCTTCCTAACTGATGTTCAAAAAAAGAACATTAAAAAAAAAACTGAATTTAAACACTATTAGGGGCACCTGGGTGGCTCAGCCAGTTAAGCAACCGACTCTTGATTTCCACGGCTCAGGATGCCATCTCAGGGTCGTGAGATGGAGCCCCTAGAGAGCCTCCACGCTCAGCGCAGGGTCTGCTTGAGATTCTCCCTCTCCATCTGCCCCTCCCCCCCCATGAGCGCAAGGGCACGCACTCACTCTAATGAATAAATAAATCTTTATTTTTTTTTTTTAAAGATTTTATTTATTTGACAGAGAGAGAGCACAAGGAGGCAGAGCAGTAGACAGAGGGAGAGGAAGAAGCAGGCTCCCCGCCAAGGAAGAAGCCTGATGCAGGGCTGGATCCCAGGCCCTGGGACCATAACCTAAGCCAAAGGCAGACCCTTACCCAACTGAGCCACCCAGGTGCCTCAATAAATAAATCTTTAAAAAGAGAAAAGATAAACTTAATTTAAACACTATTAAATGTAGGACTCCAGTTCTGAAGCTGAATGTCAAATACTGACAAACGAACTCTGCCCTTTTATAGCTCTGGCTCACTCATTCAAGACTATGACAAAAATTCCAGGCTCCACATTAGTTTTTTAAGTCATCTCGACGCCCAACTTGGGGCTTGAACTCACGACCCTGAGATCAAGAGTCACATGCTCTACCAACTGAGCCAGCCAGGCACCCCTCCATGGTAGTTTTTGGAAATTCTAAATTAATCCAGACTCAGGCTGAAGTTTAAATTTTGTCAAAAATCCAGACACCAAAATCCCTTTCCAAACTGCTATTTCATGGATTCGGAGTTTAGTTATCATATCCCCTCTAATACCAGAGATTTTATCCTGTGAAGCAAGTAATTTTAGGAAGTTTATCAAGAACAAGGCATGCCATATCAGCTTCATTTCCTTTTTTGAGGTTACCAAACTGGTAGATGAAGCCCTAGAATCTTCAGCACATCCCCGTGCATAGACATTCCTTTGGGACTGAAAAATGAAATCTAAACAGGATAAAAGAACAGTACATTCATGACCCCAGGGTCCCGGGATCGAGTCCTACATTGGGCTCCTTGCTCAGCGGGGAGCCTGCTTCTCCCTCTGCCTGCCCTTCCCCCTGCTTGTGCTTGCTTCCTCTCACTAATAAATAAAAATCTTAAAAAAGAACAGAGAGGGAGGTCGTTTTGGTGACCACAGACAAGATGGGCAAGCTTATCCAAATTTGCAGCTGACAAAACACTGGAAAGGATAACCAACCCACCGGCTTCAAGTATATCAAATTCTCTGTGGGGCCAGACTGATGGGCTAAAACAAACCCAGGGGCGCCTGGGTGGCTCAGTTGTTTAAGCGTCTGCCTTCAGCTCAGGTCATGGATCCCAGGATCCCGGGACCGAGCCCCGCATCGGGCTCTCCGGTCCGTGGGAAGCCTGCTTCTCCCCCTCCCACTCTCCCTGCTTGTGTTCCCTCTCTCGTTGTCTCTGTCAAATAAACAAAATCTTTAAAAAAAAATAAAAAATAAACCCAGTGGTTTTAAAAGCTCACTGTGAGTGGACAGATTCTACTTCTCTTCCTTGAACCTCACTACCCTCCTATGCCAAAGGGCAGGGGATAAGCCTGACCTCTCGGCTGGAATAATTAATAAGGAAGATGAGAAAAGCATTCACAGCAAGGTGGTTATCTTGAAAGTGAGACATTCCAGTGTTTAGGCACTTAGATACATTGTATCCATTTTCAAATACTGGTGACATGGATAAATCATTTTATAAAGTCTCAGAGACTCACTTTTTAAAAGTGCATTTCCTTGGTAAGAATTTCAACAAAGTTAAGAAGTTATCCCAAACTTTGGCAGTAGTCACAGACAGGTGCTTCCATCTAGGAATGAAACACTTTAAAAATAAACTTCTGCATAACCATGAATCTGTACATCATGTTCCAACGAGCTGCCTCTCCTGGAGGTGACTGACCATTCAAGAACTAGAAAAACCATGTCTTTAAGACAAATGACTGAAAAAACAGGAAATGTTTGGCCTGGTCAAATCAACATTAGAAGGACCACTACAGCAGCCTTCAAATATCTGCAGAGCTGTCTTTGTAATGCTAGAAACCATTCTTTGAAGAAAAGATACCACAGGATCAGATTTCATGTCAATGTTAGGAAGCCTCTCCCTTACCCTGACTCCACACACCCTTCAAAAATAACAAATAACAATTTTTATCTGAAGCCGTGTATGCAAAGCTTAAGTTGTTTGATATTCTGGGGAGACTGGACTGAAGGAACTGTAATAATATTAGTCTCCTTCAAGGCAGTCTGGAACTGTGCCTTCAGGTCACGGCCAAAGACAAAAAGGACTAAGAACAGACTGTTACCCAACCCCCTGCAAGGCAATATTAACATTATCTGCTCAATAAATGTATGTTGAGTGAAGGACAAAATAAAACGAATGGAGAGGATACAGGATCCGGCCTAAGGGGCTCAGTGGCCACGGTCACAGAGCCTGACCAAAGCGAGTGAAAGGGAACCAAGTCAAACAGCTGAGAGTCAGGAGCATAAGGGAAAGGACTGATTGAAAATCAGTCCTCTTCTCTTGTTAAAATATACAAAAAGTTCTCCCCTTATGTTTACTGGCCAAAGCTGTCCTAATAAAAATCTAAGCTAAGACAAAGAAGAAAAGCCTGAAAATACTATGCCCCTGAATAATTCTTTAAAGCAACTGTCAGTAAGTAAAAGATAAATTTTATCATATTTAAGGAGAGCCTATTCCTTTTCAATCACATGCAGCAATAATTTGCCTTTAAGAAGTCTTTAAAAGTTGTGGCTGGTACTAAATGTTTCTATTTATATTTTGGCACATAACTAGTAAGTTGTCCAAAATTTTAAAATTAGATTTTGCAATAGACAATGGGCTCTGTATCCGAAAATGCATTTCAAATAAGCTCTCCAGATGATTCTTAAGCACACCATGTATTTCCAGCAGTATCACTGCCTAGATTAGAGGCGTCAATCCCAGGAGGGCCTTGATCTTGACATTTCCTGTCTATAACGGGCAAGAACCAGCTGTTCTGACTCAAATATCCCCTCCTCAGAGGTGCCCTCCAGGTCACCCATCCACCAAACCTGTTGTATTTTCAGAGCAAATTCCCCCCACTAATTATTTTTTATTTTTTAACTTTTTAAACTGCCACAATCTCCATCCCAACTGGAATACCAGCTTTACAAGCACCTAGATGTCTGTTTTGACCATCACTCTTCTGCCTGATCCCTGATACAAAGTGATGATCAATCAACATTTGATTTATAAAACCAACAGCCCATACTACAGTTGGGATTTCAATACAGCTGTGAATGTCTTTAAGTTCCTCACAATGCTAGCACTCAGTAAATATAATCCTTTATCTTCAACCAA